CACGTTGACACAAAACATTAGCCATCATAGCTGCTTACTGAAAAATTGGCAGTTTGTATACACCAGTTGCTTGCTACATGAGAGAAAAATGTGACAGTCTGCTTCAGTAAAGATCACATACAGCCTCAAAGACCCCATGGGGCCAGTTCCATGAATCAGAATTAACTTGGCAATGGGTCTGGGTTTTGGTTTTCTAAAACAGCTCAAATTCTTTGAAAAGAGAAGCCAGGTGTGATCATGCAAATAAACAAAGGAAGAAACATTTTGACCTCCTCTTCCGTTTGAGGTACCAAGAGAGAAGAAGCATTGCCCTGTCCTGACCCAGACCCCAAGGGCAACGCAGGAGGGCTTCCAGCATTACCCCTACTGATGATTTCTCTCGTTTCATCTTCAATTCTAAGTACCTGTAATTTTATGTTAAGCACCTCAATTAGCTGGCTGGTAACACCACCCCCTCACAATTTCCCAGCCTGGTTCAAGTTACCCCTGGGCCTTCTCTTTCTCTCCCATCCTATTCCCATGAGATGACCTTCTTCTCAGAAAATTTATGATGAATCTGAGGCTGAGAAATGTGACCTAACTCACCGGTATCATATAAGTTAGGTGGTGGCTGAACGAAGGCCCTGACTTGCATGCAGTAGAGTGGTTCTCCCAAGATCCCTCAATACCTGTAGTTCCTCATTTTCTGCAGAGGTTTGGGCTTTGGAACTCTTGGGGACAAGAGATCATCCTTAGACAATCCACATTTCCTTGCATGGTTGACCTTAAAATTATTGGAGTTCTTTCAAGTTGAGAGGAGTAAAGCACAGCAACAGGCTGTAATTCCAGCATCGTGGTGCTTCTTCTGCATGTTAGGAAAGAGTTCTAGGCTGTTGGCGTTATGTTAAACTGTACCTATTTCACCAGCCTCTTGATGCCCATTACATAACCATGATGTGTACTCCTCACATCCAAGTGTTGTGAGATGAAATGAAGTAACTGAGGCAAAGCATCTGAGTCAGTCTGGCACTGGTCACACCCTCAAATCTCTCCCATCAGAGGGAGAGAAAAATCAAGCTAATATAATACAATGTTAGCACAGCTTAGCTGCCAAGAATCTACCTGAAATCTTTCTCAGGTCTTCCTTCGGCAAAGGCCCATTTGTCTACGTTTCTGACCAGTAGTGAGCAGACACAGGGCGGGAATCACAGTCAAGGGTATGTGCGTCTTGGCTGGGCCTGTTGTCATCCACAAACTAGCAATAGTGAGAATGCTGGGCAGATGCTTCTACCTACACCCTCTCCACTATTATCCAAGGACGATGACATGCTTCTGATATTGCCAGGGAAGATGGTTGACTGGAAAGCTGATGAGGGCCAAATTCCTAACACAGAATCACACGATGCGGAACCCATAGATACCAGAGCTTCTCACAATACCACTTCATGCTCACTACTACCCTTTGAGTGTGTTAGGCCCAAACAGGAGTCTGGTCCAAGATGCTTGGACAGGAACAGCACCTCTAACTCCATCTAAGGCTATTTTGACTTTTTCTCTGGAAGTAGCCAAAATCTGAGCTAAGGAGATGACACAGATATGGGTACAAATGAGCAGTTATGGTTCCCTATTGCCTCCATGTTTCTCTGCTGTTCATAATGTTTTCAGTGACTGAATATTTGGAAGTAGTTCGTCACTCCTTCTTCCTAGTCTGTCTTCTTCTGGAAGCTTACCTGAGACCTGTCCACCATGGGTGACCCTGCTGGTATTTAAAATACCAGTGGCATAGCTTTCAGAATCACAGCATCTCACAAGCCACCACAGTACGACAAACTGACAGACAGATGAGTGGTCAAGGTGCATTTGAAGGAATTGGCAAAGAACAAGGCACCAGGAATTGATAGAATAAAGTTGAAATCTTTCAAGAAAGTGAGGCAGCACAGGAAGCACTCACTCCTCTATGCCAAGAAATCTGGCCGACTGATTGGAAGAGATCCATATTTGTGCCCATTCCAAAGTGAAGTGATCCAGTGGAATGAGGAAATCACC